GAAAATAGAAATTAAAGAATTTTCACTTTTCGTTCGTTTCCATGGCAACGGTAGGATAAATTTGAATGTTGTTGACTAATGAATAATGACTGCACACTTAGAAATTCTAATTATAATTTCTGTAAAGTTTCATCAAGATTGTCCTAGCGACCTCTGAGAACATATGTGAGCATAATACCTTTTTTTCTGTTTTGTTTCTATGTTAACTGTGTGCGGCCAATTCCAGATTTTTGAAAAATAGAAATTACTTTGACACAATGCAAGGAATCATCCCTTGAAGTTTCAAAGTGATTGCTTGAGCAGTTACTGAGAAAATCGAAGTTAAGAATTTTCATTTTTCCTCTGTTTCCATGGCAACAATTGACATTTTGAAAATTTTAAATGCGAATTGCACAACAACAGTTACTGATCATTATTTCCATAAAGTTTCATGATGAATGTTCAAGGAACCAGAGAGAACACTCCCGGACAAAGTTCGTCACTTTTTGTAAGTTTCCATGGCAACGGTAGCCATGTTGAAACTGAAACAAAAACAATGCCCTAGCCATCTGCGAGAAATTTCCCGGACAACGTTTTTATGCGTACAATAGCAATATGTCGCCCGACATAAATAAATAATTAGGAAACCAACTCACAGATATTTTGAAAAACCCTCCTACGATGACGCAAAATAAATTCACTGATGGATACAGAAAATGTTTCTATTGTCAGGAATTCGGTCATATTTCACGGAATTGTCCAAAAAAAAGAGGAAAGAGGAACACAGCAGAAAAACTTAGTCACACTATCGACCGGATTCCGAATACAAAGGACTCTCTTGGTATTTCACGCATGACTGGAGCATGTCCGGTGATTAATATAGTAATACAAAATGTGAGCATTCCTTGTTTAGTTGATACCGGATCTAATGTGTCTACAATAACAGAAAGTTTCTATAGAGAATATTTGGAAAAACCTGGAAAATCTTTGTCCTCGTGTAAAATTCAACTTACATTAGGGTTCTCAATCGTTTGATATTTGAATGTGACGTACATTTTAGTGTAGCGTTTATGTTTGCTTTCTTATGGTGACTGATTTCTCAAAAATATCAGTAAATAAATTGAAAAATACATAACTCATCTTAAGAACTTAATCTAATTTGTTAACAACCTGTTTTAAATATTTCGGAAATTGAAAAATATAACCAAAAAAATTAGATTGTTGCCAACATATACACTGTATGTATACTGTGAAAATAAAGTATGCTCTATTAACCCCCCCCCCCCCCGCCCCCATTTCTGAGAAGGGAGAAAACATGCGTGAAGTCCAGCGAGGATCTAGAAGATATTTAACTGTGAAAGCAAAGTAATTGGTCCTAATTATAGAAAATTAACGGTTTAGAGTTAGAATCTGAAAATAGTACATAATTTAGAGTCTTATTTTCTAAATCTAAGTACATTCATGCTCCTGATTGATGAAGATCTCACTGTTGCAACGTTAATATTTAACTGTGTTGGAACTATGGCGCTGATTTAATTTAACGGTGGCGGAACCTCTATGTTAAATGCCCATGGAGAACCTTGTTATACACATTCATCACACAGGAAGTCTGTTTTTGGTTATCAGAGTGAACATTACATACGCGTCTTGTCTTATTTGAATGGAACAAAATAATTATTCTTTATGTGTTAAATTTTGGCTCTCCAATATCATGGATGTTTTTAAAAAAAAATGCAACGGGAAACATCATCAATAAACAAATACTTTAAAAAGCACGAGTGTTAAGTACAGTTATCATTTGAATTATTATATCAAAGATTTATCTTAATCTTTATTGTCAGTAAAAGAAATACAGTAATATCAGATTTGAGATTTGAAAAAAAGATTCTTTTCTCGTGAGGAGATCAAACATCAAAGAAGTCTTGATTTCCCTGACCAACACTGTCAGCGTTTAATTATCTACTCTCAGTTTTTTTTATTTCATTTTGTTATTATTTTAATGGGGGTGAAATCATCCCAATGTGATAATCCCAAGGGACATGAAAGAACTGGATGTGAGGTCAAAAAACTGTTTTTCAAACATCCAATCTCAGAACATCTGGTAGCACAGGTGGCTTGCTGGTCAATCAAAACAGTAGCTTTTGTATTTAGTATGATTGACAAGCTGTAAAATATTGATCTTTAATTAGATAAATTTTGGGGGAGTTAACGTTCGATTTATCAGTACTTAAATTAAAAAAGACAACTCTGATTAGTTTCAAAAGATCTTTTTTAATGCAGAACGTACGGGGATTTCAATTTGATGAAACTCTTATGAAATAAGTGAAGATAATAAACACTGATAATTAAGGAATAACTGTGTAATTTATTTGGTTTCATGATGTGATCAATCAATTGGCCTGTGTGATAATTTGCATAAACGCCTTCGGCGTTTATGCATAAAATTATCACTCAAGCCAATTGATTGATCATCGTCATGAAACCAAAAAATCTGACAGTTATTCCTTATATTAATATGCTCTTGATTCTGTAAATTCACGTGCTACAAGCCCCGCTTCTGTCTCTATTTTTCCCGCCCCGCACGTGATTTTTTTTTCACCACGCCTATCCATGAACCAGTAGATTTATGCAGAAATAAAGTATTTTTACTTTTTGAAATTTTACCTCGGACAAAGACATTAGAAATGTAAATATTTCATGATCAATATTGATTTTTTTGAAGTAAAATTATTGTTTTTAAGAGTTTCTTAACATACCCAAGGTACTCTAAGTACTCTCCCTTTGAGTGGTATAACATTATGCAACTGGATTGCAGTCGTGGAAGTCTATGTCCGCAAAAAATAGTTCCGCCAAAATTTTAAGCATATGAAGTCACCTGTTTTTTTTTTAAAACATATCAAGCTTTAAGGCTTATTCTTCAAATCATGATAGAAATTATCAGTGCACATATTTATAGGCGATGACTTGGGTTTTCATTGAGCAATACTTCGCTCATCATACTTAATTCAAACAAATGCTCAGTTTTAAAACAACTATTTCCATAGTATTGATCAAATTTTAAAAAAATTAAAAAATCACAGGTTAAAAATACGAAAGTTGTCCAAAATGTTCGTGGACAATGTCGTTTTTTTTCAAAATCCAAGTCAGAATAATTTGGTCAAAATATTTTAAACAAAATTATTCATGTGGGCTACTAGAAGATGCATACTGTCTTTATTTCCCTTGTATAGACTATGCAAAAGCAAGGAATTCCAAAATGAATAAGCTATTGTCATTTAATAATTTATACGTTATAGATGTATATCTAATGCTATGGGGTGATGATTCTCGTACTAATGAACAAAATGCTGAACTTTTCAAGATTATTCAAACTTTTCTGAATGAATGTAGTCGCTTTTCAAAAAAGCTTAATTTTTTTCCCAATGTAAATCTATATTTGTACATTAATTTTAAAGACGACCTTGTTTTTTTCTATTACTACTATGTATATGTAGTAGACCACATATATACATTTATTTTATTTTGGCAATTTTAGAGAATGTTGTATTAGGAGAAGACTATCTTAGTTTTTGAACTTGTGTCTAGTCCTTTTGACTCTTTGTCCATTAAATATGATCAATTCAAATTCAATTCAATAGTTTGGTTTTTAGTGTTGAACTTAATATTTTTAAGAAATCACGGTCACTAAAGGTCGCAGATAGTCCGCACGGACCAGGGTTAAAATGCCATAAACCTTTAAATAAAGTTTTTTTCATTAAAATTCTTATTTTCTTTATAAAACAAGTCAAAGCTTAATAAAAATTGAATGTGTCGCAAATACATCGGCTATCGTCATTTTTTGATATCTTAAGTACATTGTATCGCTTACTAAAAAGACAGTGAGAATATTAAGGGAAAACCGCAACCGCAAGAAGTTTCAAAAATTGACAGAAAAAGCGACGTCAGCCATCCGAAAAGAACAGCGTCGTCGAATCATTAAATTGTGATTTAATATGGTTGAAACGACGTCAGACACAAAATATTCATTCAAAGAACTTGAAATTATTGGAATATATTTAGTTCATTGATTTGTAATTGGTGTATACAATTTTTTAACGCTGTGTAAAATTTCACAGATGCATGTACTACAAGAAGTGGAAAACCACTGTAATTTGATGAAAATAGGATATCCCTATTCATGACCTTGTAATAAATCTAGCGCTGTCGGACTGGGCTGTGTATACAAAGTGTTTATATTGATGGCGCTTGTAAATTATCGTGTGTTGTTTTGAATTTTAAAAGTTAAATCAATTTTGGTATATACATAGATATTATTGCAAACACTTGGCGGTGCGGCATAATAAAGAATATAAACGTGTGTCCATGAACATGTCATAAAAATTCAAAATCTATATTTCTGACGTTATCATAGAATTAGTGACTGAGCCGTGCGGCTTGCATATACTAAGTATTCACACTTATAATATTCATGAAATAGTGTGTATTTTTTAAATTTTTATTATCTTTTTCATATCATGATCTATATTAAGATATTATCGTACACGTTTGCCATCGCGGACTTTATTAAGAAAATTAAGCATTTGTCCACGAACTTTTTGGACAACGCTCGTTTAGTAACAATGTTAAGAAATAAATTTCAAACTATGTTTCAACTGAAAGGTATACAAATGTTGTAATGGTGTGTTTGTGACGTTATGATAAACTGATGTTTTTAGAGGGGGTCATAAAATGTTGTAAAAGAAAAAGTATAATATATATGCTTTTGAAATTTTAAACACAGGAACTTGAAATTCTCTCAAATATTTGTTTGTTAGATATGCATATACAATAACTGATATGATTGTGGTTGCTGTCAAAATTATTTTAAAAGTTTTCCAATTAAACCTGCTAAATGAATTTATATGAAATTGGTTTAAACTGTAAGTGCACTGGATATCAGTGTATTTTCAAAGACTGAAAATAATATTAGAAGGCATTTGGTTTAATTATCTCAAATTAAAGATATCTGTACATATATGTACAATTCCTCTGCAAACTAGCCTCCTTAACTTTCCAGATCATATCATCATCATCATCTTCTTCTTCAATATCATCATCATTATCATCATCATATTCAGTATCTAAACATGCAAGGCGAAAATATGTGCAAGGAGGCTAGGCACATAATGTCGCCGGTGAAAATATGTACATGTGTCACTTTTCAGCCGGTGACAATATGTACCGATAGTCCGATTTTGGATGTCCAGTTTTGGATGTTTGAGACCTCAGAGAAGTTTTTCTAAAAGCTGGCATTGTTTCAGTAAGTTGGACCACCACAGTTGTCAAATTGTATGCCATGGCTTTTGTATAGTAAGTGCAAAAGTAACTATCTTTTGGGTCCTGTGTGATGTGAGGTTTCTGTCATTAAACTCATTTTCATATCAATATTAGAAAATGGATATTCTAAATCAATTAAAAGAATATGGAGAGTCATTAGGGTTGAAAAATGTGGAGTATCTTCTTTCATTAGAGGACAACAAGCTATTCAGAAAGACGAGAGAAATGGACATAGAAGAAGAAAAGAAAAGACTAGATTGTTAGGCAGAGAAAGTTTCATTGGATTTAGAGAAGGAGAGATATTGGTATGAGATTGAGCAGATCAATGTTGAGAAAGTGTATGAATCACAGGTAGTAAACACTAGCAAAGATGAGCAATCTGATCACATTCAAGGTCTAGTTACGCCTAAAGCTCCAAAGCTTCCTGTATTTAATGAAGAACATGATGAGATGGACAGTTTTCTTCTTAGATTCAAAAGGTATGCAGAAGCACAAAAATGGGGTGAAGAGAATTGGCTGTTAATTTACGTGCGCTTTTACAGGATAAAGCTCTAGATGTTAACTCGTTAATGCCGAAAAGTGAGGCCTTAGACAGTAAGAGTTTGAAAAAAAACCCTGGGAGAAGATTTGAACTGACGGATGACGGGTTTAAGAAAAAGTTAAGATCTTGTTCACCTGATCAATTGGAAACTTTTGCACAATTTGCAGTTCGACTAAGTGGTTATTTCGATCGATGGATAGAGATGTCAAAAGCACCAAAAACATTTCAGGGTTTGTACGATCTCATGTTGCGTGATCAGTTTTTACATATTTGTAGTCAAGATTTACGTTTATTTCTGAAAAAGCGCATTCCAGATAGTCTTAAGAAAATGGAAGATCTTGCAGACCAATTGAAAGATGCTAGAATTCGAGCTCAGTTTAGACAGTAGATAAAGGTAAGGGCTTATTGCAGAAGAAATTAGAACCATCAAGAAAACATACAGTACTAGGAACAGAGACAATGTACATATGAAAACAACAAATACCGGTAAGTTCGTACCCAAGTCAGATAGAAGATGCTTTAAGTGTAACGGAGTAGGTCATATTGCTTCAGAATGTAAAGCCAAACCGGTTGTTTGTAGTTTGTATCTGAAGTAAGAACCGAAGGAGAATCATCCACTACACAAAAAGAAGAAAAAACAGTTTGTTTTGTAAGTGCGTTACCTTCAGATTCTACAGTAGATTTAATGATGAATATGTCGCCGTTTACTCCTACTTCTGCTTGTAATAAATCTGTAGACTTTTCAATGCCTATTTCTGCGGACTATATTAACGGGAATCCTGTGACAGTTTTGAGGGATACTGGTTGCAATGGAGTTGTTATCCGGAAATCCAAGGTAAGTGAGGAAAACTTTGTATACGGTAAGCAACAGGCGTGTGTCTTAGCTGACGGATCTAAAATTACAGTTCCTTTGGCAGAAGTGTTCATCGATACTCCCTATTTGTGTGGTTATCACAAAGTATGGTGTATGGAAAATCCAGTGTATGATTTGATAATAGGAAATGTTCTAAATGCAAGGATTCCAGACAAAGAAGACGAGAATTGGTAGTTCAACGCGGTAGAAACGAGACAACAGAAACGGAACAGAGAGAAGTCTTATTCACCTCTGAAGGTACCCAACATAATCACAGACGTAATAGAACCACACTGTATCAAGGCTGCAAAAGAGAAGGACCCAACCCTTTCCAAGATTCGGGATTATGCAGAACATAATACTGTTCACCAGAAGAAAAATAGTAAGGTAAAACGGTATAAAAAGAATGGGTTGCTTTATCGAAAATTTGTAGCGAATGACGACAGCGTAAATAAGGTATTTTCTCAGCTTGTAGTTCTAGAGAAATTTCGCGCATTAGTTATGAAGTTGGCACATGATTCCTTATAAGCAGGGCATCTAGGTATTCAGCGGACAATAAGCAGGGTTAACTCAGAGTTTTTCTGACCAGGACTCCAGAGCGACATCCGACGGTTTTGTCAGTCCTGTGATATATGCTAGCGTACTCTTCTAAAAGGTAGGGTGAGCAAAGTGCTTTTAGAACGTATGCCATTAATTGATGTTCCATTCCAACGAGTTGCAGTCGATACAATGGGTCCTTTATCCCCATTCACGGAAAAGGGTAACAGGTACATTCTTACTCTAGTAGATTATTCCAGCTGTTATCCAGAAGCCCTAGCTTTGCCAAGTATAGAGACAGAAAGAGTCGCTGAAGCATTAATGGAAATCTTCTCCAGAGTAGGTATACCAAGAGAAATGTTAACGGACATGGGTACCCAATGCACGTCGTCTCTTATGGAGGAAGTAAGTCGTCTCATTTCAACCACACCTCAACACCCTTCCTGCAATGGATGGGTCGAACGCTTTAATGGGACTTTAAAGCAAATCTTAAAACGACATTTTGCAAAGAAACCTAAGGACTGGGATAAGTATTTAAATGCAATTTTCTTTGCTTATAGAGAGTTACCACAGAAAAGCTTGGGGATTTCTCCTTTTGAAATAGTCTGTGGAAGGTTTGTACGAGGTCCAATGTCTATTTTGAAAGAACTTTGTACCAAGGAAATAGAAGATACAAACGTGAAAAACAACCTATCCTTATGTTTTAAATCTGAAAGAGAGATCGCAGTCTATGGCCCAACTTACCAGAGAAAACCTTTAAAATCTGCAACCAGGTACAAGAAGTACTACGATAAGAAAGCTAGAAATATATCTCTAAAGGTAGGTGATACAGCTCTTATTCTAATACCTACAGACTTCACTAAATTACTTCTTCAATGGAAAGGCTTTAGACATCGTAAAGAAGGTAAACCGTGTAGATTGCCAGTTGAAAATGAATGGGAAGGTAAAGACCTTTCATTTAAATCTTCTGAAGAAATATCTCGAACGAGTACAAGGTAACAATGTTCTTGTTGAGACTGATGAAAGTGTATTTGGTTCAGTAAATGCTACATTTGTGGATTGTGTGGGAGACTCAACACAGGAAGGACAGTTAGATGACTATCCGGCACTAGATTCTGACCAAGGCACAGAAGTGGATGTCAATGGTTTGCTCTCGACCTAGGAAAGGAAAAAGTTAATGAGTACTATAGCGAAGTATGGTGACATTCTACAAGACCAACCAGGAAGTACAAATATTTTAGAACATAACATCCGCATGGTAAGTGCTAAGCCAGTACATGTCAAAACACGTTCAGTTCCCTTTTCTTTGGAAGAAACAGTCAACAAAGAGGTGAGTGACATGTTAGAATTAAAATCATTGAACCGTCTGAGTCTCCTTTTTGTTCATAAATAGCTAAAATTCTAAAAAAGGATGGTACCAATCGCTTTTGTATTGACTTTCGGCTACTAAACAGACAGACAATTTTTGACGCGGAGCCAGTAGAAGACGCAGAAGAAATGTTTGCAAAAATTTGCAGGACACAAATTTTTCTCAAAAATTGACTTATCAAAGGGATATTGGCAAATAAAACTGACAGAGGCATCTAAACCAAAGACACAATAATTATTAACATTTTGTTATATACATAAACTCATCGTATCCTTGTGTATCCGAAATGTGCTTGGGAAAAGTCATAGTATTACTTGGGTACAAAATATTTCCTGAGAAAATCAACTTACCTACAAATTTGAGGGTATTTTCCACACAATATCGTAATCTGTATTAAAACAAAGCCAACACACATTTTTCCCAAGCAAGATTCAGTTAGAGAACAACTTCTTCTTATAGATTTCCACAAAAATTCTCAGATTAATCCTCATTAATCACCTGTGCCAGACTCTTTTATACACACAAAATAAATTCTACCTCCAACCACGGGTATAAAACAGAGTACATTTCAAAAGTATATTTTTCATAAGCATTTTGAACAAGATGAATTTTAATCAAGGGTAGGTAAGCGGCGTATTTCTAAAATATTCGGACATATAAGACTTAAAAAACCTTTAACGACCCGTGAATTTTGCAATAGCTATCTAGCATTTTACATCCAGTTTGAAATAAAGTGTAAAGTTCATGACACTCTCCCCGTCATAACACCTCAAGTTTGCAGTGACTTGACGTCATTTTCCATTATGACGTCATATTTTGGTAGTTCAGAGATGTGAAGGCACAGAGTACACTGTCATATTCTACGGGAAGCCTTAACCTACCTGCGGAGACCAATGTTAGACAAGGTCAAGGCCATGCAAGATGCACCAAGACCAGAAACTAAAAACACAACTACGATCGTTCCTTGGGTAAATAGGCTTCTATCGTAAGTTTGCATTGCATTGCCCATAACAGATTTGACTAGGAAAGGATGTAGAACCAAACTTGTGTGGGGAAAATGTTATGAAACTGCATTTCAGTCTTAGAAGTTGTCCTTAGCTCATTCTCCTATTTTGAAATTACCAAACATAAAGGAGCGTTTTAAACTTCAGACTGATGCATCTGTTAAAAGTTTAGGAGCTGTATTGTTACAGAGAGTAGAAGACCAGAAGTTACCAGTGGCGTACGCCAGTTGAAAGAGTGTGAAAGTGTGTACGCGACGGTAGAGAAAGAATGTTTGGCTATTGTTTGGGCTTTTCAGAAATTTCAAAAATATCTATACGGCCAAGAGTTTGTTTTAGAGACTTTTCATAGCCCTCTTGTGTATCTAAATCGGTTAAAGGTCACAAATCCTAGATTGATGCGCTGGACATTCTATCTCAAACTATATCGATTCGGATCCAAGCTATTTAGGAAAAGGAGAATGTAGGGGGCGGATTACCTAAGCCGTTTATAAATTTATGTGAATGGCGTGCCTTTTGTAAAGTTTCAGATTTTGTTTCTTACATTTTAGATTCTTATGTGTTTTAAAGTACTGCGTACTGTTGGAAAACGAGAGGTATTGTCACATTAAAATCTACATCTATATGAATGGTCTATATTCGAACACGCAAGCAAAATTCTATTCCCCTGTGGTGAGCCTCCGTTTTTCATTATATACATATTTAATCCCTTTTATGCCTCAAATCACTGGACCTTTAAAGTAATGTTGAGTCTGTGTGGCTGTTGGACACGGCAGTCCTCATTGAGAATGATGTTTTTATACTTTTCTAGAGATTTTAGTAAATTTTGCAATAGAATAGTCATGGCAAACTTCAACACAGTGTACCTGATATTGCCAATGTGTATGGTTCCACTTTTCTGAGGTAAGCCTTGTTTTTATTTTTTCATTACAAAATAAATGCTGTAAATATCTTAAAACAAACAGTTTCCTAATTTCTCAACATAGTCAGCCTAAACTGTTTTGCTATTTGAGATTATTTCTATATTTCTGTATACGTTATTTATATGTATAGTTCGTCAAAAGTGTTCGAGTAATGATTTAACGGTGTCCCGTTCGTGTCTTTTACTATGTCCTCTGTTCTGTAATATTTTGTTATAAAGTGTAAAGTAAAGGTATAATATATTGTAGTAAAGCATCTTTATGCTATTTGTACGCCATATGTACATGTGTACGCAGCACAGTTAAGGCTACAAAAAGGGGGCGGAGCCTAATTTGTACGGGAAATATTAACTACGACATCATACAAAACCATCAGTTCTTAAAAATACTACAAAATGAAATTGTTTGCTATTTTAAATTATAAAAGACCATCAAACTACATCAAAACTTACTATAACACGCTGTTTTGTCTTTAGTTAAATCCCACATAGCAAGATATAAACAACTCACTGATCGCCATGCACTTGTCGATGTGACGTCATTTCGTAAAACTTGACGCAGTTTGTATGCAGTGAGAGGCGGATCAAGTAATATTTTCACAACGAAAAATGTATTCTATTACTAAATTAAATAATATTTGAAGACATTTTAGAGGCCATTAACTTGGATGCAATGTCTTCTTCATGATTTTATTCATATATATTCCGTACATTTCCTATCTAATTGATACTGCCTTATATTTGTATGCAAGTACATCGGAGGGTAATTTAAGGGTCATGATAAATCAATCTAGTGCAAGGGCATACACTCAATGGATCACAGTAAGCTTTCTTATATAAATTCTAGAAGTATTAAGGTATCCGAAAAGTGCTGCGATCCTTGTGAAATCTTGAAAATGAATTAATTACATCTATATTTAATGCCGTTGATCAGCAAAAAATACAGCATACAGTCATACAAATATGATTTTAACAATGAAATAGCAGAATCTATAGAGGATCGCAGCACAATTCAGAAACTACAATGCTTGTTGAAAATATTTATACACTAAATTTAGAATTTTAACTTGATTATGCCCTTGCACTAGTAAAATTTATAGGTTATCTCGATACTGCAAGTATATGCGCTATATCACGTGACTGCCGCATCACTTGACAAGTCTAAATATAAAATAAAATCTCCTCAATATGTAGTTATTAACCATAATTACATTTGTCCAGTATAAATAAAGTACTGAAAATGATCGGCATCCTGATTAAGAATATATTTTTAATCACAAGAAGTGGCGATATTTCCATTGCGCACCTTAACTGTTCTGCGTATGCACTGTATAACTTATAATGTGTGAAGTGTATGTCTACCATGACATTATATTGTACATGGGTAATTAACAGGTCCTCATCCTGTGTGGTAGATGTCCCGGGAACAGACATGGTCAAATCTAGAGTCTTGGGCGCAAGACGTATACATTTTGTGTGTGTGTAGGCCTCCATGGCAGTAGGACAGGAGGATACATTTCCATACCAGTCCGGAGACCAATTGTATCGTAATTAAGGACAACCGTCATCGCCGAGTTGAACACTGACAGTTACCCAACTCAATCCAGTTTATGTTGTATATTTTGGTGTATTAAATGTAAATGTTTTAAAATTTGAAAGAAAATTTGTTGTAAATAACCAATTAAAAGGGCAGTTTGGATCAACATCATTTACGCTTGGTCATTACCATGACAGAGGGGTTACGTAAAAGTTTGTGGACTAGCGCCATATATTAAAATCGCTTTAGGTACATCCATGAATTTTAAAACATTCAGTTAGCATCATCTTTTCTATCTATGATATAAACCATAAATCATTAGTTCTATTTTTCAATATATTGTTAATGATTTTTTTAAGTAATGGTATGTCCAGTCTGCGAAAACTAACACATAACATTTTTTTTTTAATTTTCCACCTGAGTGTAACTGAGGAAATATCTTTTGATATAAATATTTGTCATCCAAACATCCCGTTAATTCATGCATGTGGTATGACTCAAATTTTCCGTAACATTTTCAATTTTTACCTCATTCTTAAAGTTCTATCTAATGAAATTTTAACATAAATCTTGTATGGAGTGTCCAGACAATTAAGAGCTAAAAAATTACGTCATATAGGGAGTCGAATTTCTTTTCCCAACATTCTATAAAGTTTTTCCCCTTGAAAAAAATGTTGTAGATCTAAGGAATGTTTAATTGGACCACAGAGAAATAAAATCCGTTCAGAGTACTTGTTTTCAAAAGCCGAAAAAGATTCAGAGAAATGAGGCATGCAAATTTAATGTCGATTCGTAGTCGGTGTGTCAATTCAATCATGTCGAAAAGTGACGTTGATCATGTGTGGTACATGTAGATATTGAACTCCGACAAGCAAAATATGCTCACATAATCAGGTGAGGATCTCTCCATATGTATAGATCAATTTACAATAGCATATGTATTGAAAGCTGTTCATGACAATGTAAAGTCAAATAGATAAGACAGGATTCAGTTGTTACTTAAGTCCAGGGAATTTCATCAAAATAAATTGAAGAGGTAGAAGCAGCAGACATTGAGAAACAATGACGTCGTCGGGCGTGATGAAACCAAACCGCGACAGCGCCGGATGATCATATTATATTTTATCTATTTTATAATAATTTGGCAAACGATCTACGTATCAAGGTAAAAATTTTTAAAAATTTCCAAAAGTTTAATGTACTTTATAAATTTTGTAAACACAGACTCCAAAGTTTGTGCATTGAGGATTGTGACATATTGCCGCCAACGACAATTTGCACAGAACGACAATATGAACCGTCAAAATTCCTGCTTGAAATATTTCAGTAAAAATCT